CACGCGCGTGGCAGTCCAGATGGGACCGCTCCCAAAACGGCAGGTGGACGCACAGGCTACTCCCCGACGTAGGTCGCTGGCTGTCGAGGCCACCCCTCGGTTTATCGTACCACCTGACTCAGGCCCTGTCCGGACACGGGTGTTTCAGGAAATATCTGCACGACAGGGACCGGGCCGCAGACAGCTACTGCACGTACTGTATGTACCCGGAGGACACGGCAGAGCACACGCTCTTCGCGTGCCCTAGGTGGGAGGACGAACGCGCTGTCTTGACCAGGATCCTCCGACGCCCACCAGAGCCCGGGGACGTCGAGGACATCCTATGCGGTCCTCCAACCGACCTACTACCGGACGATACAGTTTGCAGATCCAGACTCCTGGCGCAAGCGCAAACGAACCGACTGCAGCTCGTAGAAATGTTTGACTCAATCCTCGGAACGAAGGAAGAGGATGAGCGAGAGGAGCAGAACTATGGCTAGTCGCCAGATGGGACAAACGATGAAGAACGGTCAGCTTCACCCCGCAATTCGCTTGCGAAACGTCGGAGGTGTCACCGACCACGTTCTTCATCCCCCCCACCTGTGACACCACGGGAGGGACGACGATCACGGCATCGCTGGACAACCGAAGAGAACGAGGCTTCAAGGGCGGCGGACTCCGGTCGGCCCGCCAATAGGATTGCAGAACGAGAGCACTAGGGCGGCGGACTCCGGTCGGCCCGCCAAAAGGTGACGTCTCAACATCCGTAAAATGTAAAAATGTTATGCTATTAATATGTCATGTATAGAGGGGGGTAAGTCGGGGAACTGTCCCGTCTACCCCCCACGTATGTATTAATATTTGTCTTTGTCAATAAACGATGGCGGCGTCGCGGAAGTAATGCGAAAGCTGTTCCCGCGACGCCGTCGGTTGAAACTGAAAAAAAAAAAAAAAAAAAGGTTAGGTTAGGTTAGGTTAGGTTAGGTTAGGTTAGGTTCCCCCCCCCCAAAATTTTTTTTTTTTTTTTTTTTTTTTTTTTCCCTTGGCCCTCGCGACCCCGTTTTTTCAGGATAGTCAGCCATGCCGTCCTCCGTCCCAGACGACTGGGAAATGGACGCCTTCTCCGACCACGGCCCTCATCACAAGAGGAAGCAAGCCAGCTCCCCGGCCGCAGACTCCCAGGTCCAGAAGACGAAGAAGAAGAAGACGCCCAACACCGCTACTTCGACAACAACCAAAACACCGACCACCTCAGACTCCGGCAACGCGCTCATCGCAGCCACCAGAGCCACGGAATATGCCTGTGATCTCGTACAGAGCCTCGCGGACGAGTTCTACTCCGAGGATTACATCGGCCCCTGCCTGTCAAAAGTCACCAAAGCACTCGAGCAAGTTTGCAAAGCTCTGAAACTGCTCGACAAGGATCAACGGCCGCCACCCGGCCAAAAAGATGCCTCCACCGCCACCGATCCCAACATCGACATTCCTGCCGCCAACGCACCGAAGCCCACGACTTCCTCCCAGCCCGCCGGAAAAACCGGCCAACCGGCCAACGGCAACGGTCGTCGAAGGAGGAATAACCAAAAACCCAAGCTGGACGCAAGGACCCCCATGGCCAAACCTCCGGCTCAGAGGAACGAAGTCCCTGAAGTCCCGCCAACCGATCAACCCGAACACTCAGGAAACCGATCGGTCGAACATGAAGAAGTCCCCTTCACTCTGGTCCAGAAGGTAACCAAGAAGCCGCCTGCCCCGAGACCGCAGCAAATCAGGAAAATCGTCCAGAGACCAGCCGCTGTGCTCGTCAAGGTCCCCGAAGGCAAGTCCTACGCAGACACCCTGCGCCAAGTCAGGGGCACCGAAATAGACTTCGAAGGACTCGGAACCCACGTGACCTCAATGAGGAGAACGCTCAAAGGCGACCTGCTCGTCGAGCTGACCAAGGGCGCAAAGGCCACTGCTGCCACCTCAGCCATCCGTGACAAGCTCGCCGAAAACATGGCAGGAGCCGTGGTCACCAGGCTCCGGCACACCGCCGAAATAGAAATTACTGACCTCGACGAGGTTACCACCAGGGATGAGGTCCTCGCCGCGATCCTCAAGAGCACGCCAGACGGCCAACCCATCACGGCCGACGAGATCAAGATAACCGGCCTGTGGGCCACGCGGGACAGCCGCCAAATGGCCACCGCAACAGTGCCCATCGCCATCGGTCGGAGTCTGACTTCCGTCCGCGTCGGCTGGACTCAGTGCCGGGTCCGCCCGCGCAGACCGGAGCCGACAAAGTGCTACCGCTGCCACGGCTATGGACACGCCACGCGGCAGTGCACCGGCACCGACCTCTCTCACGCCTGCCGAAGATGCGGACAGAACGGACACACCGAGGCCACATGCACCGAGGGCGCGGACCTGTGCGTCGCCTGCGACCGCATCAAGGCCCCACGCGTGCCGCACAAGCCCGGCTCCGGGGCTTGCGCCGCCCGAAGGAAAGCCATCTCAGAGATGAACTCAATAAAGAACCGAATATGATGCACATCATACAGATAAACTTACAACGGAGTGCCACCGCCCAGAGCCTTCTGCAGCAGACCTCGGCCGAAAGGAGAGCCCACGTCCTCCTTGTTTCCGAACAAAACTGGAGTCCAGCACGCGACGACAGATGGACAGTCAGCAACGATCACTCCTGCGCAGTCGTCCTCACGGCTTCAGCGGACTTCGTCCCCGAATCGAAAGGGTCCGGTTCGGGCTTCGCCTGGATCCAGGGACGCGGGCTAAGGATATACAGCTGCTACACCTCCCGCAACGTCCCCAATGAACAGTTCGCAACATTTCTCGACGAAATCCACCAGTCCGTGCGGGAGTGCGACTTCCGAACTCACGTGTTGATCGGCGGCGACTTCAACGCCTGGTCGCAAGAGTGGGGCTCGGCGCGCAACGACCGGAGGGGCGAGCAGCTGGCCGACCTCGCTGCCAGTCTTGGGCTGAGCGTCGAGAACACCGGCGACACGGGCACCTACCGGCGGATCAATGCAGAGACGATCATCGATATCACGTTCTCACGCCTCGTTGCACCCGCCGCCATACGCGGATGGAGAGTCCTGGAAGACGTGGAGTCAGCCAGCGATCACCGCTACATCGAGTTTACCATCGACCCGACTCCCGACGTGGACGATACTGGGGGCAACCATGCAATAGGTTGGTCATTCCGTCAGCTGGACCCAGTCGCTCTAGCCACTCACCTGGCTAACACGGCTCAACCCGACGTCAACGACACTACCACCGCATCTCAGGCAGCCGATCAACTGATCGAATACCTGGAGGCGGCCTGTAATTCCTGCATGCCCCCTAGGGTCCCTCGCAGAGCAGGCAGAAACGAAGCTCACTGGTGGTCAAGGGATCTGGCCGCGCACCGACATACCACGATCAAGCTACGAAGAGCGCTCCAACGGTCCGCTCGGAGGCACGAAAATCAAGACCTGATAGACGCCCACCGCTTGGCTTACTCGGAAAAGCGCAAAGAACTACGCAACGCCATCCGCGACGCCCAGGCCAAGAGCTGGGCCGAGCTGTGCAAAGCCGTCGACGACGACCCTTGGGGCCTACCTTACAGGGTGGTGACCAAGAAGATCGGCCGCCGCCGCCCTGGCGTCGAAGCGCGCGGCAGGGAGGACTCGATTGCCAATCACCTCTTTCCGGAACCTCCAGCAACCGAATGGTCACTCGAGCAACCTCTGATCGACGACCCCTGCGATCCGCAAGCACACCTGTTTACACTCGATGAGCTGCGAGAAGCGTGCACACGGCTGCCGGCGGGCAAAGCCACGGGTCCAGACGGGATTCCCAACGAGGTCCTCCTCCGGGTCTCCAAAACCGCCCCACAAGCTCTTCTGAACACCTACAACTGCTGCCTGCTCAGGAACGAATTTCCTGCACGATGGAAGACCGCCAGGCTCGTCCTTCTCCACAAGGGACCTGGAAAGCCGATCCTCGAGCCATCGAGCTACAGGCCACTATGCATGCTCAACTCCGCGGCCAAGCTCCTGGAGCGACTGTTGCTGACGAGACTCAACCTGCACCTCGACTCGACCGGACAAAGGTCCGAGAACCAGTACGGGTTTCGGCAAGGACGATCCACCGACGACGCAATCGATCGCGTAATCAGCGCAGCCCGGGGAGCCGCATCGGGCGCAGTCCAACACCGCGACCTGTGCGTAGTCGTATCCCTCGACGTGCGCAATGCGTTCAACACCGCCCCGTGGCCTCGGATCGACGCCGCTCTCCGCGAAAGGCTGGTCCCATCCCACCTGAACCGCATGATACGATCCTATCTGGAGAACAGGACCCTCCTCGTCGGAGAGGCACAAACAGCGAGGAGCGTTACGTGCGGGGTCCCACAGGGTTCGGTACTCGGTCCTGCCTTATGGAACGTGTTCTACGAAGAACTACTTGACACCGACATGCAACCCGGAGTTCAACTGGTGGCATTCGCCGACGACGTGGCCGTCATCGGAACCTCTCGGACCGGAGCATCCGCAGCAGAACTGTTGAACCCAGCGCTGAGCACCGTCTCGAATTGGATGCGCGAAAACGGTCTCACGATAGCTCCCCAAAAGTCTGAGGCCGTCGTTCTGACCAGGAAATACAAATTCGACGACCCCCAACTGTACGTGGAGGGACACGCCATACCGGTGAAGCCAGTCATTCGATATCTGGGGGTGGAGTTGGACACCCGCCTGTCGTTCACGGCACACATAGCCACAGCGTCGAGAAAGGCCTCGGATTCGGCTAAAGCCATCGGACGTCTGATGCCCAACGTAGGGGGCCCGACCCAGGCAAAACGGGCTCTGCTGGGGTCTGTGACCAACAGCAAGCTGCTCTACGCGTCCCCAACCTGGGCCAAAGCCGGCATCAAGACAGCGAAAAATCGAAACGAGATGGCCAGGGCGCAGAGGACCACGGCACTCCGCACCATCAGAGGCTACCGAACGATCTCCGCCGACGCGTCCTCCGTACTGTCGTGCATGCTGCCGGCCGACCTCCTCGCCCACGAACGGGCAAGAGTCAAGACCCGTCTAGAAGATGAGGGAGAATTAACATCGACCTCCACTATAAGGAAAGGAGAAAGAGCAATCTCTACATCGTCTTGGCAATCCAGATGGGATCGGGCCGCAGCCGGTCCTGACGCAGTCGGACGCAGATGGACCCACCGGCTTCTGCCCGACATCGCACGCTGGATTGCGAAGCCTGCTATGAGCCTCACATACCGCATGACGCAGGCCCTGTCTGCACACGGTTGTTTCCGCAGCTACCTGCTAAGATTCAAACGTGCCGTGGACAGCTACTGCGTGTATTGCATGAACCCCGAAGACACGGCAGAGCACACCCTCTTCGCTTGCCCCAGGTGGGAGGACGAGCGTGCTGTCCTGACCAGGATCTTAAGACGCCCACCAGAGCCCGGGGACGTTCAGGAACTCCTGTGTGGACCTAGGGCCGACGAACTACCTGACGATCTGACAGCCCGGTCAAGGATCGTAGAACAGGCAAAGACCAACAGACGTGAGTTTATGGCGATGGTGGAAAAAATCATGTGCTCCAAAGAAGATGATGAAAGGGAGGAACAGTTGTACGACTGACGACAGCGCACTCAGTCTGAAGCTGGATCAGGATGAACAACTGGACAGACACTCACACCACTCGCTACCGCGAGTCGTCGGAGGTGTCACCGACCACGTTGTTCATCCCCCACCCGTGACACCACGGGCGGGACGACGATCACGGCATCGCTGGACACCTAGAGAACGAGGTTTCAAGGGCGGCGGACTCCGGTCGGCCCGCCAATAGGAGTAGCAGCACGAGAGAACCAGGGCGGCGGACTCCGGTCGGCCCGCCAAAAGGTGCACGCCTCAACAACTGCTGATAATGTAAAATGTAATATGCTATGTACTGTCATGTTTAGAGGGGGGGTAAGTCGGGGAAGTGTCCCGTCTACCCCTCCCGTATGTATAATTATTTGTCTTTATTATTTCAAATAAACGATGGCGGCGTCGCGGAAGCATTGCGAAAGCAGTTCCCGCGACGTCGTCGGTTCAAACCCGAAAAAAAAAAAAAAAAAGGTTAGGATAGGTTAGGTTAGGTTAGGTTAGGTTAGGTTAGGACTACGCGGTCCTCCCGCAACGAGCAACATGGAACTCGAATCAGTACGACGAATCACGGAAGCACTCTTCCCCGTCCATCCCCCGATGATGATGCAAACTCTCGAAGTAAATGAGACGCCTCCACCCTTCACAACAGAGGAGGTTAACAAAGCGGTTGAAAGAATCAAGCGGAAAAACACCGCCCCAGGTATGGACAACATAAATGGGAAAATAATTAGCGTTGTTCACCAGGTATGCCCGTCCATGCTACTGGGAATGTTTAACCAGTGCATAAAAGAAGGAGTGATCCCTTCCGGCTGGAAGAGAGCCCGCGTCATCCTCCTAAAGAAGGGCAACAAACCAGATGGGGAGCCTGCTTCATACAGACCTATCTGTCTCCTGAACGTGGTAGGTAAAGTATTCGAGTCCCTGTTGGTGGCAAGGCTACATGAGCACATTGCCGGTAGAGGCGGATTGTCCCGTAACCAGTTTGGTTTTACCAAGCAGCTGTCCACGGACGATGCGGTGAGGAAACTCCAGAGTACGATCCTAACGGAAATAAATTTCCCATCGTCAAAGTTCTGCGTGGCAATCAGCCTGGATATCAAGAATGCCTTTAACTCCATCGGCTGGAACGAGGTCATGCTTGCACTAAGCCAGGCCGAAACCCCCATGTACCTGAAAAGAGTCTTCCAGGACTACTTTTCCGGGAGGTCAGCCGAAACCTCGGCTGGAGACCAAAAAGTGGAGATACAGGTGTCGAGTGGCGTTCCGCAAGGCTCTGTCGTCGGCCCGCTTCTCTGGAACCTCGCCTATGATCGGATTCTCCAACTCCAACTCCCGAGGGGGTCCAGACTGATCGGCTTCGCTGACGACACCTTAGTCGTAAGCTCGGGCAAATCCATTCCAGAGCTGGAAACAACAGCCAATGAGACGCTCTCTTTGGTTTCCGATGAGATCCGGAACATGGGTCTGTCACTGGCAGTTCACAAAACCGAGGCGGTCGTGTTCTCCAACAAATACAAGTATGAAACCCCAAGGCTGATACTTGACGGGCAAACTATCCAGCCGAAGGACAAGATGAAATACCTGGGGATGATAGTGGAGCGCGGCCTACTCTTCAAGGACCACATCGTCGAAGCCGCATCTAAGGCGGAAAAAATGTCAAGCGCCCTAGGGAGACTTATGCCCAATATTGGAGGCCCAAAAGAGTCTAGAAGGAAACTTCTGTTATCAGTCACGACGTCGATTCTCCTCTACGGAGCACCATCATGGGCGGAGACAATGTCCCTGGTCCCGAGAAACAAATCACTGGTGAATGGCGTGCAGCGAAAGGCGCTACTCCGAAGCATCTGCGGCTACCGGACAGTTTCGGAAACAGCAACAAGCATCTTGGCTGGCACGCCGCCTGCCGACCTTCTGGCGGAGGAACGCAGTGCCTCGTTCAGCGAAAGGAGGTCTGGAGTACGCAGTGAGTTCTCTCCCCGCGCCTCAACAATGGCGAAGTGGAAAGCCCGCATCGCCGAGTCTACATCCGGTGAATGGAGCAAACGGTTAATCCCCGACGTTGAAAGGTGGTGCCTCGGCAAACAAGGGGACCTAGACTTTCATTTAACCCAAATCCTTTCTGGACATGGTTGCTTTGGAGTCTACCTCCACAGAATCGGCAAAGAGCAGTCAGACGCATGCCACCACTGCAACTCATGCCGCGACAGCGCGGAACACACGTTGGTCGAATGCCCGGCATGGGTCGAGGAGAGGCTGCAGTTGGAACGCGCGACCGGTGGAACGGTATCAGTAGACAACCTAGTGCCTGCCATGCTGTCCACTCACGCAAACTGGCAGGCCGTCAAAGACTTTGCCAGAGCGGTGATGAGTAAGAAAGAGTCTGACGAAAGAGACAGGGAGCGTCCAGGCGGACCAAGACCAAGGAGGGCTTAGGAGAGGATCAGACGACGCACGCGACATCCAGGGCGGCGGACTCCGGTCGGCCCGTCGAAATTTTCAGCACCAAGCACGAGATTACAAGGACGACGGACTCCGGTCGGTCCGACAAGACAAGAGGAGGAAGGCGTCACAAAATCAAAACTGAATGATGTAAATGATTGATGTATAACATGTTATGTCACCGATGGGGTAAGTCGGGGTATTGTCCCGTCTACCCCATCCGTATGTATAAATTGTTAATTTTTATTTAGCAATAAACGATGGCGGCGCCACGGACGCAATGCGAAAGCAGTCCCCGTGGCGTCGTCGATTCAAACACAAAAAAAAAAAAAAAAAAAAAAAAAAAAAAAAAAAAAAAAAAGGTTAGGTTCCCCCCGACGGGACCCACCTTAGGTTAGGTTAGGTTAGGTTAGGTTCCCCCCCGACGGCACCCACCTTGACGTGGTGGGGGGGCTCACCGATTTCGATCGGTGCTAAGAGGTGCCAAACGCAAGTAGCGAAACGCAAGCAGCGAAAACCATACGCAGCAGCAGGCTAGTACACAAGTTGTGGAAAAAACGGCGCAAGTAGCGAAATTACGCACGCAAGTAGCGAAAAACGCACGCTAAGCGAAAAACCGTACGCAGCAGCAGGCTAGTACGCAAGTAGTGATAAACGGCGCTAGTAGTGAAAAAACGCACGAGAGTAGTGAAAAGCAACGCAAGTAGCGAAAAAACGCACGCTAGTAACGAAAACCGTACGCAGCAGCAGGCTAGTACGCAATTAGTGAAAAACGGCGCAAGTAGTGAATAAACGCACGCAAGTAGGGAAAAACAACGCAAGTAGCAAAAAACGCACGCTAAGCGAAAACCGTACGCAGCAGCAGGCTAGTACGCTATTAGTGAAAAACGGCGCAAGTAAGTGAAAGACGCACGCAAGTAGGGGAAAAAAAAAAAAAAAAAAAAACAACGAAGTAGCGAAAAAACGCACGCTAAGCGAAAACCGTACGCAGCAGCAGGCTAGTACGCAATTAGTGAAAAACGGCGCAAGTAGTTAAAAAAACGCACGCAAGTAGTGAAAAAACAACGCAAGTAGCGAAAAAACGCACGCTAGTAACGAAAACCGTACGCAGCAGCAGGCTAGTACGCAATTAGTGAAAAACGGCGCAAGTAGTGAATAAACGCACGCAAGTAGGGAAAAACAACGCAAGTAGCAAAAAACGCACGCTAAGCGAAAACCGTACGCAGCAGCAGGCTAGTACGCTATTAGTGAAAAACGGCGCAAGTAAGTGAAAGACGCACGCAAGTAGGGGAAAAAAAAAAAAAAAAAAAAAAACAACGAAGTAGCGAAAAAACGCACGCTAAGCGAAAACCGTACGCAGCAGCAGGCTAGTACGCAATTAGTGAAAAACGGCGCAAGTAGTTAAAAAAACGCACGCAAGTAGTGAAAAAACAACGCAAGTAGCGGAAAACGCACGTTAGTAGCGAAAAATCGTACGCAGCAGCAGGCTAGTACGCAAGTAGTGAAAAACGGCGCAAGTAGTGAAAAACGCACGCAAGTAGTATTAAACGACGCAAGTAGCGAAAAACGCACGCTAGTAGCAAAAACCGTACGCAGCAGCAGGCTAGTACGCAAGTAGTGAAAACGGCGCTAGTAGTGAAAAAACGCACGCAAGTAGTGAAAAACAACGCAAGAAGTGAAAAACGCACGCTAGTAGCGAAAACCGTACGCAGCAGCAGGCTAGTACGCAATTAGTGAAAAAACGGCGCAAGTTGTGAAATACGCACGCAAGTAGGGAAAAATGACGCTAGTAGCGAGAAACGCTTGCCCCCGCAGGCCAACCTAAGTCCGCAGTACGAAAGTTCAAAGTTGGATTCCTCCGCCCCCTTCTGGGTTAGGAGGGTCTCGTCTGCTGAATCAGATCCGTCGTCACCCCTGCTGACAGGGGGATGTAAGGGGGGGTTTTCGGCACTCCCGAAGCCCTCAGACAAATACCGGCCGAGATACGTCCAAAAAACGTCAAAAAACGCAAGAAGTGAAAAAATCGTAAGTCGAAAGTGCGATTCCGACGCCGGGAAGTGGTCCACGGACGTGTGCCCACCCGGCCGTCGGTCATCAGTCACGAGAGGAGTCCGCAGAGCCAGCCCAGCAGCACCCACGCATGTAAGATGCAAGTAGTCCGAAGTACGCAACTTCAAAGTCCGATTCCTCCGCCCCCTTTTGGGCTAGGAGGGTCGGGTCTGCTGCACCAGGTCCGTCGTCACCCCAGCTGACAGGGGGATGTAAGGGGGGGTTTTCGGCACTCCCGAAGCCCTCAGACAAATACCGGCCGAGATACGTCCAAAAAACGTCAAAAACGCAAGAAGTGAAAAAATCGTAAGTCGAAAGTGCGATTCCGACGCCCGGAAGTGGTCCACGGACGTGTGCCCACCCGGCCGTCGGTCATCAGTCACGAGAGGAGTCCGCAGAGCCAGCCCAGCAGCACACACCAGTCGAGGAGAGCCCGCAAGAGGTGAAAGCCGTACGAGCTGACACATCTCAACACCGTTTCTCTATGTATTCAGTATGTAAAAAATTTTCTGTTCGTCCCCCCGGGCCTGGCCCACCGACAGACTAGTATCACACCAGCAATAGCTGAGGAACGTTTGTCGGTGGTCCCAGGTCGGGGACTATTTTGTGGTTATTGATGTATTACCTAATATGTGTTTTGTATCAATAAACGATGGGGGCCGGAGGTGAAGTAATGCTAACGCGGTTCCGCCTCCGGCCCTCGATTCAACCCGGAAAAAAAAAAAAAAAAAAAAAAAAAAGGTTAGGTTAGGTTCCCCCGACGGCACCCACCTTGACGTGGTGGGGGGGCTCACCGATTTCGATCGGTGCTAAGAGGTGCCAAACGCAAGTAGCGAAACGCAAGCAGCGAAAACCATACGCAGCAGCAGGCTAGTACACAAGTTGTGGAAAAAACGGCGCAAGTAGCGAAATTACGCACGCAAGTAGCGAAAAACGCACGCTAAGCGAAAAACCGTACGCAGCAGCAGGCTAGTACGCAAGTAGTGATAAACGGCGCTAGTAGTGAAAAAACGCACGAGAGTAGTGAAAAGCAACGCAAGTAGCGAAAAAACGCACGCTAGTAACGAAAACCGTACGCAGCAGCAGGCTAGTACGCAATTAGTGAAAAACGGCGCAAGTAGTGAATAAACGCACGCAAGTAGGGAAAAACAACGCAAGTAGCAAAAAACGCACGCTAAGCGAAAACCGTACGCAGCAGCAGGCTAGTACGCTATTAGTGAAAAACGGCGCAAGTAAGTGAAAGACGCACGCAAGTAGGGGAAAAAAAAAAAAAAAAAAAAAAAAAAACAACGAAGTAGCGAAAAAACGCACGCTAAGCGAAAACCGTACGCAGCAGCAGGCTAGTACGCAATTAGTGAAAAACGGCGCAAGTAGTTAAAAAAACGCACGCAAGTAGTGAAAAAACAACGCAAGTAGCGAAAAAACGCACGCTAGTAACTAAAACCGTACGCAGCAGCAGGCTAGTACGCAATTAGTGAAAAACGGCGCAAGTAGTGAATAAACGCACGCAAGTAGGGAAAAACAACGCAAGTAGCAAAAAACGCACGCTAAGCGAAAACCGTACGCAGCAGCAGGCTAGTACGCTATTAGTGAAAAACGGCGCAAGTAAGTGAAAGACGCACGCAAGTAGGGGAAAAAAAAAAAAAAAAAAAAAAACAACGAAGTAGCGAAAAAACGCACGCTAAGCGAAAACCGTACGCAGCAGCAGGCTAGTACGCAATTAGTGAAAAACGGCGCAAGTAGTTAAAAAAACGCACGCAAGTAGTGAAAAAACAACGCAAGTAGCGGAAAACGCACGTTAGTAGCGAAAAATCGTACGCAGCAGCAGGCTAGTACGCAAGTAGTGAAAAACGGCGCAAGTAGTGAAAAACGCACGCAAGTAGTATTAAACGACGCAAGTAGCGAAAAACGCACGCTAGTAGCAAAAACCGTACGCAGCAGCAGGCTAGTACGCAAGTAGTGAAAACGGCGCTAGTAGTGAAAAAACGCACGCAAGTAGTGAAAAACAACGCAAGAAGTGAAAAACGCACGCTAGTAGCGAAAACCGTACGCAGCAGCAGGCTAGTACGCAATTAGTGAAAAAACGGCGCAAGTTGTGAAATACGCACGCAAGTAGGGAAAAATGACGCTAGTAGCGAGAAACGCTTGCCCCCGCAGGCCAACCTAAGTCCGCAGTACGAAAGTTCAAAGTTGGATTCCTCCGCCCCCTTCTGGGTTAGGAGGGTCTCGTCTGCTGAATCAGATCCGTCGTCACCCCTGCTGACAGGGGGATGTAAGGGGGGGTTTTCGGCACTCCCGAAGCCCTCAGACAAATACCGGCCGAGATACGTCCAAAAAACGTCAAAAAACGCAAGAAGTGAAAAAATCGTAAGTCGAAAGTGCGATTCCGACGCCGGGAAGTGGTCCACGGACGTGTGCCCACCCGGCCGTCGGTCATCAGTCACGAGAGGAGTCCGCAGAGCCAGCCCAGCAGCACCCACGCATGTAAGATGCAAGTAGTCCGAAGTACGCAACTTCAAAGTCCGATTCCTCCGCCCCCTTTTGGGCTAGGAGGGTCGGGTCTGCTGCACCAGGTCCGTCGTCACCCCAGCTGACAGGGGGATGTAAGGGGGGGTTTTCGGCACTCCCGAAGCCCTCAGACAAATACCGGCCGAGATACGTCCAAAAAACGTCAAAAACGCAAGAAGTGAAAAAATCGTAAGTCGAAAGTGCGATTCCGACGCCCGGAAGTGGTCCACGGACGTGTGCCCACCCGGCCGTCGGTCATCAGTCACGAGAGGAGTCCGCAGAGCCAGCCCAGCAGCACACACCAGTCGAGGAGAGCCCGCAAGAGGTGAAAGCCGTACGAGCTGACACATCTCAACACCGTTTCTCTATGTATTCAGTATGTAAAAAATTTTCTGTTCGTCCCCCCGGGCCTGGCCCACCGACAGACTAGTATCACACCAGCAATAGCTGAGGAACGTTTGTCGGTGGTCCCAGGTCGGGGACTATTTTGTGGTTATTGATGTATTACCTAATATGTGTTTTGTATCAATAAACGATGGGGGCCGGAGGTGAAGTAATGCTAACGCGGTTCCGCCTCCGGCCCTCGATTCAACCCGGAAAAAAAAAAAAAAAAAAAAAAAAAAGGTTAGGTTAGGTTAGGTTAGGTTAGGTTAGTCAGCCAAGAACAGCGGTCCAGCCAGGACCCGCCTCCCCGCGAGGCGAAGCGCTCCCGGAGCAGCTCCCTCTCGAGGCGAAGCGCTCCCGGAGTAGCTCCCTCTTCCCGCGCGTATAGGGCAGCGCGACGCCCAGCCCCCCGTCCGACGCCAGTATGGACACCACCGCGCAACACCTCGCCCGGACCAGCCCCGCCCCCGCGACCTCCGCGGCCGGGGCCTCCGCCGCAGCCACCGCGGGATCGCAACCCGAACCAAAGAAACAAAAGACGAAGGAGAAACCCTTTTCTGCACTGGATAAATACGCCGCAGACATCGCGACCGCAATCATGGATAATATGCACCTCCTGGATTTAGAAGCATACTTAGCAGCAAATCTTATGGAGAACCGGGTCGGTCACGCAGACCATCAAGTTATAACGTTTTGCAATAATCTCGCCACCAGTCTCTTGCATATCAGAGGCAACCTCGGAGAGCTCCTGAACGACAAAGGCAAGCTGAGGGGTTTCGCTAAGGCCGCCCGTAAGTACGTCGATCCATCGGATGCTTCAACGCAAACCACAGATCTCGCCACCTCGATTAGCACCTCCGACGCTCAAACCGACACGGACCTCGTGCCGAGTTGGTGGTTGAGTGACGGATTTACCCAGACGGGCGCCGCCACGCGCAGCCGGAGGCCGGCAACACCACGCATCGCCGACACGTCAGCTGAGTCTGCCTCGGAAACCGAAATCGAAAATCGCTCCGAAGTTGGCACCGTCGACACGGCAGCCGAGTCTGCCGCGGAAACGGAAAACGTCAGATGGTCCGTAGTCGCAAGGAAGAAGGCCAGGCCGCGGAACAAGGCGACGGCAGATCCTCCCCAGGCGCAGTCCACCCACGTGGCTCGGCAGCAGCAAAAATCATACCCGAGGAAACCGCCAGCTATCATGATCAAACCGGCCGCCGGCAGATCATACAGCGACACGGTAAGAGCAGTCAGGTCATGCGGCCTCACCATGGCCGATTTGGGATCGAGCTTGGTCATGAGGGAGACCCAGGACGGGTCCCTCCTGATGGAGCTTCCTAGAGGCGACAATTCCGCAGCGGCCGCGAAAAAAATCGCCGCCGCCTTCTCGGTAAGACTCGGTAGCGACATAGGCAGAATCTCTCAGCTCGGGGTCCTCGTAGACGTGGAGGTCCTGGACCTAGACTCCTGCGCCACCGCGGACGATGTCCTTGAGGCACTCCGCGACACCGTCACCAGTGAAGACAGCAATACCTTAGCAGCAGATCGCGCCTCGATATGTGACGTTAGGATTTGGCCCACCAAATCAAGGCAGCAGATAGCTTCGGCGAGGATGCCCAGACACCTGGCCACCCAGATCTCCAGCATCTCGGTCGGCTATTCAAAGTGTAGGGTAAGACCGAGGACACTCCCACCAGAGCGATGCTTCCGATGCCAGATTTTTGGCCACAACGCGAGAAAGTGCACCTCCGAAGTCGACCGCACCGGCGCCTGCTGGAGATGCGGCTTGAACGGCCACGATTCGAAGAGTTGCACCGAACCCGACGACAGCTGCTTGGCCTGCCACCTCGCAGGCCTACCGAAGGTTAGTCATAAACCAGGGTCGGGCGCTTGCGCCGCCAGGAGGCAGGCCGCAAGTCCGATCGCTACCTCGCGCAACGCATGAAAGAAGCAAGTAATCCTAAGTACGAAATTTCAAAGTCCGATTCCTCCGCCCCCTTTTGGGCTAGGAGGGTCGGGTCTGCGACACCAGGTCCGTTGTCACTCCAGCTGACAGGGGGATGTAAGGGGGGGTTTTCGGCAATCCCGAAGCCCTCAGACAAATACCGGCCGAGATACGTCCAAAAAACGTGAAAAACGCAAGTTTTCCAAAAAAACGTAAGTCCGATGTGCGATTTCGACGCCGGGAAGTGGTCCACGGACGTGTGCCTACCCGGCCGTCGGTCATCAGTCACGAGAGGAGCCCGCAGAGCCAGCCCAGCAGCACCCGCGCATGTAAGATGCAAGTAGTCCGAAGTACGCAACTTCAAAGTCCGATTCCTCCGCCCCCTTTTGGGCTAGGAGGGTCGGGTCTGCTGCACCAGGTCCGTCGTCACCCCAGCTGACAGGGGGATGTAAGGGGGGGTTTTCGGCAATCCCGAAGCCCTCAGACAAATACCGGCCGAGATACGTCCAAAAAACGTGAAAAACGCAAGTTTTCCAAAAAAACGTAAGTCCGATGTGCGATTTCGACGCCGGGAAGTGGTCCACGGACGTGTGCCTACCCGGCCGTCGGTCATCAGTCACGAGAGGAGCCCGCAGAGCCAGCCCAGCAGCACCCACGCATGTAAGATGCAAGTAGTCCGAAGTACGCAATTTCAAAGTCCGATTCCTCCGCCCCCTTCTGGGGTAGGAGGGTCGGGTCTGCTGCACCAGGTCCGTCGTCACCCCAGCTGACAGGGGGATGTAAGGGGGGGTTTTCGGCACTCCCGAAGCCCTCAGACAAATACCGGCCGAGATACGTCCAAAAAACGTCAAAAACGCAAGAAGTGAAAAAATCGTAAGTCGAAAGTGCGATTCCGACGCCCGGAAGTGGTCCACGGACGTGTGCCCACCCGGCCGTCGGTCATCAGTCACGAGAGGAGTCCGCAGAGCCAGCCCAGCAGCACACACCAGTCGAGGAGAGCCCGCAAGAGGTGAAAGCCGTACGAGCTGACACATCTCAACACCGTTTCTCTATGTATTCAGTATGTAAAAAATTTTCTGTTCGTCCCCCCGGGCCTGGCCCACCGACAGACTAGTATCACACCAGCAATAGCTGAGGAACGTTTGTCGGTGGTCCCAGGTCGGGGACTATTTTGTGGTTATTGATGTATTACCTAATATGTGTTTTGTATCAATAAACGATGGGGGCCGGAGGTGAAGTAATGCTAACGCGGTTCCGCCTCCGGCCCTCGATTCAACCCGGAAAAAAAAAAAAAAAAAAAAAAAAAAAAAAAGGTTAGGTTAGGTTAGGTTAGGTTAGGTTAGGTTAGGTTCCCCCCCGACGGCACCCACCTTGACGTGGTGGGGGGGCTCACCGATTTCGATCGGTGCTAAGAGGTGCCAAACGCAAGTAGCGAAACGCAAGCAGCGAAAACCATACGCAGCAGCAGGCTAGTACACAAGTTGTGGAAAAAACGGCGCAAGTAGCGAAATTACGCACGCAAGTAGCGAAAAACGCACGCTAAGCGAAAAACCGTACGCAGCAGCAGGCTAGTACGCAAGTAGTGATAAACGGCGCTAGTAGTGAAAAAACGCACGAGAGTAGTGAAAAGCAACGCAAGTAGCGAAAAAACGCACGCTAGTAACGAAAACCGTACGCAGCAGCAGGCTAGTACGCAATTAGTGAAAAACGGCGCAAGTAGTGAATAAACGCACGCAAGTAGGGAAAAACAACGCAAGTAGCAAAAAACGCACGCTAAGCGAAAACCGTACGCAGCAGCAGGCTAGTACGCTATTAGTGAAAAACGGCGCAAGTAAGTGAAAGACGCACGCAAGTAGGGGAAAAAAAAAAAAAAAAAAACAACGAAGTAGCGAAAAAACGCACGCTAAGCGAAAACCGTACGCAGCAGCAGGCTAGTACGCAATTAGTGAAAAACGGCGCAAGTAGTTAAAAAAACGCACGCAAGTAGTGAAAAAACAACGCAAGTAGCGAAAAAACGCACGCTAGTAACGAAAACCGTACGCAGCAGCAGGCTAGTACGCAATTAGTGAAAAACGGCGCAAGTAGTGAATAAACGCACGCAAGTAGGGAAAAACAACGCAAGTAGCAAAAAACGCACGCTAAGCGGAAACCGTACGCAGCAGCAGGCTAGTACGCTATTAGTGAAAAACGGCGCAAGTAAGTGAAAGACGCACGCAAGTAGGGGAAAAAAAAAAAAAAAAAAAAACAACGAAGTAGCGAAAAAACGCACGCTAAGCGAAAACCGTACGCAGCAGCAGGCTAGTACGCAATTAGTGAAAAACGGCGCAAGTAGTTAAAAAAACGCACGCAAGTAGTGAAAAAACAACGCAAGTAGCGGAAAACGCACGTTAGTAGCGAAAAATCGTACGCAGCAGCAGGCTAGTACGCAAGTAGTGAAAAACGGCGCAAGTAGTGAAAAACGCACGCAAGTAGTATTAAACGACGCAAGTAGCGAAAAACGCACGCTAGTAGCAAAAACCGTACGCAGCAGCAGGCTAGTACGCAAGTAGTGAAAACGGCGCTAGTAGTGAAAAAACGCACGCAAGTAGTGAAAAACAACGCAAGAAGTGAAAAACGCACGCTAGTAGCGAAAACCGTACGCAGCAGCAGGCTAGTACGCAATTAGTGAAAAAACGGCGCAAGTTGTGAAATACGCACGCAAGTAGGGAAAAATGACGCTAGTAGCGAGAAACGCTTGCCCCCGCAGGCCAACCTAAGTCCGCAGTACGAAAGTTCAAAGTTGGATTCCTCCGCCCCCTTCTGGGTTAGGAGGGTCTCGTCTGCTGAATCAGATCCGTCGTCACCCCTGCTGACAGGGGGATGTAAGGGGGGGTTTTCGGCACTCCCGAAGCCCTCAGACAAATACCGGCCGAGATACGTCCAAAAAACGTCAAAAAACGCAAGAAGTGAAAAAATCGTAAGTCGAAAGTGCGATTCCGACGCCGGGAAGTGGTCCACGGACGTGTGCCCACCCGGCCGTCGGTCATCAGTCACGAGAGGAGTCCGCAGAGCCAGCCCAGCAGCACCCACGCATGTAAGATGCAAGTAGTCCGAAGTACGCAACTTCAAAGTCCGATTCCTCCGCCCCCTTTTGGGCTAGGAGGGTCGGGTCTGCTGCACCAGGTCCGTCGTCACCCCAGCTGACAGGGGGATGTAAGGGGGGGTTTTCGGCACTCCCGAAGCCCTCAGACAAATACCGGCCGAGATACGTCCAAAAAACGTCAAAAACGCAAGAAGTGAAAAAATCGTAAGTCGAAAGTGCGATTCCGACGCCCGGAAGTGGTCCACGGACGTGTGCCCACCCGGCCGTCGGTCATCAGTCACGAGAGGAGTCCGCAGAGCCAGCCCAGCAGCACACACCAGTCGAGGAGAGCCCGCAAGAGGTGAAAGCCGTACGAGCTGACACATCTCAACACCGTTTCTCTATGTATTCAGTATGTAAAAAATTTTCTGTTCGTCCCCCCGGGCCTGGCCCACCGACAGACTAGTATCACACCAGCAATAGCTGAGGAACGTTTGTCGGTGGTCCCAGGTCGGGGACTATTTTGTGGTTATTGATGTATTACCTAATATGTGTTTTGTATCAATAAACGATGGGGGCCGGAGGTGAAGTAATGCTAACGCGGTTCCGCCTCCGGCCCTCGATTCAACCCGGAAAAAAAAAAAAAAAAAAAAAAAAAAAAAAGGTTAGGTTAGGTTAGGTTAGGTTAGGTTAGGTTAGGTTAGGTTCCCCCCCGACGGCACCCACCTTGACGTGGTGGGGGGGCTCACCGATTTCGATCGGTGCTAAGAGGTGCCAAACGCAAGTAGCGAAACGCAAGCAGCGAAAACCATACGCAGCAGCAGGCTAGTACACAAGTTGTGGAAAAAACGGCGCAAGTAGCGAAATTACGCACGCAAGTAGCGAAAAACGCACGCTAAGCGAAAAACCGTACGCAGCAGCAGGCTAGTACGCAAGTAGTGATAAACGGCGCTAGTAGTGAAAAAACGCACGAGAGTAGTGAAAAGCAACGCAAGTAGCGAAAAAACGCACGCTAGTAACGAAAACCGTACGCAGCAGCAGGCTAGTACGCAATTAGTGAAAAACGGCGCAAGTAGTGAATAAACGCACGCAAGTAGGGAAAAACAACGCAAGTAGCAAAAAACGCACGCTAAGCGAAAACCGTACGCAGCAGCAGGCTAGTACGCTATTAGTGAAAAACGGCGCAAGTAAGTGAAAGACGCACGCAAGTAGGGGAAAAAAAAAAAAAAAAAAAAAACAACGAAGTAGCGAAAAAACGCACGCTAAGCGAAAACCGTACGCAGCAGCAGGCTAGTACGCAATTAGTGAAAAACGGCGCAAGTAGTTAAAAAAACGCACGCAAGTAGTGAAAAAACAACGCAAGTAGCGAAAAAACGCACGCTAGTAACGAAAACCGTACGCAGCAGCAGGCTAGTACGCAATTAGTGAAAAACGGCGCAAGTAGTGAATAAACGCACGCAAGTAGGGAAAAACAACGCAAGTAGCAAAAAACGCACGCTAAGCGGAAACCGTACGCAGCAGCAGGCTAGTACGCTATTAGTGAAAAACGGCGCAAGTAAGTGAAAGACGCACGCAAGTAGGGGAAAAAAAAAAAAAAAAAAAAACAACGAAGTAGCGAAAAAACGCACGCTAAGCGAAAACCGTACGCAGCAGCAGGCTAGTACGCAATTAGTGAAAAACGGCGCAAGTAGTTAAAAAAACGCACGCAAGTAGTGAAAAAACAACGCAAGTAGCGGAAAACGCACGTTAGTAGCGAAAAATCGTACGCAGCAGCAGGCTAGTACGCAAGTAGTGAAAAACGGCGCAAGTAGTGAAAAACGCACGCAAGTAGTATTAAACGACGCAAGTAGCGAAAAACGCACGCTAGTAGCAAAAACCGTACGCAGCAGCAGGCTAGTACGCAAGTAGTGAAAACGGCGCTAGTAGTGAAAAAACGCACGCAAGTAGTGAAAAACAACGCAAGAAGTGAAAAACGCACGCTAGTAGCGAAAACCGTACGCAGCAGCAGGCTAGTACGCAATTAGTGAAAAAACGGCGCAAGTTGTGAAATACGCACGCAAGTAGGGAAAAATGACGCTAGTAGCGAGAAACGCTTGCCCCCGCAGGCCAACCTAAGTCCGCAGTACGAAAGTTCAAAGTTGGATTCCTCCGCCCCCTTCTGGGTTAGGAGGGTCTCGTCTGCTGAATCAGATCCGTCGTCACCCCTGCTGACAGGGGGATGTAAGGGGGGGTTTTCGGCACTCCCGAAGCCCTCAGACAAATACCGGCCGAGATACGTCCAAAAAACGTCAAAAAACGCAAGAAGTGAAAAAATCGTAAGTCGAAAGTGCGATTCCGACGCCGGGAAGTGGTCCACGGACGTGTGCCCACCCGGCCGTCGGTCATCAGTCACGAGAGGAGTCCGCAGAGCCAGCCCAGCAGCACCCACGCATGTAAGATGCAAGTAGTCCGAAGTACGCAACTTCAAAGTCCGATTCCTCCGCCCCCTTTTGGGCTAGGAGGGTCGGGTCTGCTGCACCAGGTCCGTCGTCACCCCAGCTGACAGGGGGATGTAAGGGGGGGTTTTCGGCACTCCCGAAGCCCTCAGACAAATACCGGCCGAGATACGTCCAAAAAACGTCAAAAACGCAAGAAGTGAAAAAATCGTAAGTCGAAAGTGCGATTCCGACGCCCGGAAGTGGTCCACGGACGTGTGCCCACCCGGCCGTCGGTCATCAGTCACGAGAGGAGTCCGCAGAGCCAGCCCAGCAGCACACACCAGTCGAGGAGAGCCCGCAAGAGGTGAAAGCCGTACGAGCTGACACATCTCAACACCGTTTCTCTATGTATTCAGTATGTAAAAAATTTTCTGTTCGTCCCCCCGGGCCTGGCCCACCGACAGACTAGTATCACACCAGCAATAGCTGAGGAACGTTTGTCGGTGGTCCCAGGTCGGGGACTATTTTGTGGTTATTGATGTATTACCTAATATGT